CCACAAATTCCTTCTTTTTATTAGTATTAAATGTAGTAATGTAACATTAAATTACTTTGTAATTGTTATTTGTTTGTGGTGAAATCAATTCATTTCAATTCTAGGATTTTTACTGAAGTGCATGCAGTTATGGAAAACAGTCTGGAATAGGTGTTCATTTTAGATGTGTTTTAGCGAACAAGGGTTTTAGTTATATATATATTTTATGCATTTTATTTAAGCATCACATTCTACTCTGCAACAAATTCAATACATTAAATTCCAAACATCACACTATGTATATGTACATGTACATAGTATTTTGTACAAGTCCCATTCATTGTTGTACCCGATACACTGAGTCCAATTCATTAGACTGCATGGCAATTGATACATTAGACTGAGAAAAAAAATATCTTTGTTTCTCGTTTCCACGCGCATAATTTTGCACTATATGCTGCGGACGCTTTTTTCCTTCTAAAGCATTCCAAAATGTGCTTGTACTCGCATTTGTACCAAATTTCCCCCATTTTAGCTCAGTATTCAAAAAAAAAAAAAAAAAAAAAAAAACTTTCCATGTAACGAGAAAGAGAATTTTTATTATCCTGGCCTTAAGTGCCACGCACAACACTACGTTATATTCAATACAGGCCAAGTGTTTAAAATAGCATGTGTTTGACAAATAAAGTTTATACGTTACACAGAATTTAAATGTACACAGCACACCAACTTTTACTTCAAAATAATTAAGGACAACAATTAGACCTGACATTTTAGGCAGAGTTTAATTGAGCAAATAGTAGAAAATTCCATATTGAGATGGACGGGAATTTAACCGGAATTATTCACTGGACTCTAAGCGCGTTTTGTACCTTGTTTCTATTGAACCATTTCCCTCTCGCCCAATTAAAGAGGCAGCTGTAAATCCCTGGGACCAAACCATGTGGTACATAATAAAAATTTATATATTTATTAAAATTTATTATTAAGAGCCCAAAAAAGATTGTAATTTCTTTACGGTGATAATAAAGTATTATTGTATTTTATTGTATTGTATATGCACCCTATTTGCTCTATTAGAAGCACACCTCCAATAGAACCACAAATAAACCATAGACTACATTTATTGTATGCTGTTGTTTAAATGCCTGCACTACTAATAGAGACAATACAGTATATGGGCCATAGACACACCTCTGTTATTTACGTATTAGTGTATGCTCTCTTAATGGAAAAAAAGCAGTAGTAGCAAAATGCATTGATGACCTGGTTTGCTCCAAACACGCTACTTGAAACCAGAACACTGTACACAATAAATATAAAACAGGGACAACTCCTGCTGAGTCTACAGTTACTCGAACCTCCTTGGCTGACATGGTTCTTTCCGGATCACTTACGAACACTCTCAACAAATCTATTGTTTTCTATATAAGTGATAAAAGTTGGTGGTGTTCGTATGGCGACCATGATTGTCATGGCTTTTGTTATCGAATATTGTACTCTCACAGCGAGTCGATCTCAGGCATGTACATCAATTAATGCATTCTTAGAAATTCAACAAAGAACATTACCTAATATGGGAG